AAAATACTGATTCAAGAAAGAGAAACAAAATGAAAAGTTTCAAAAAATAGAATCCTAATTATCAACTATATTTAGAGGTAGGAGTTCAAATCTATCATAGATAGCGGAAGGGAAATGAGAAATGGATTGGGCTCTAAATCGGTTCAAAAAATAGATTTTCAATCACCAACTTTAGTTGGAGGTAACGGTTTTAATTCTATTAGAGGCGAGAAAAAAGTAAGGAGAACTAGATTGGGCTCTAAGTTAGTTTAAGAAATAGATTCTCAATTACCAACTTTAGTTCGAGACAGGGGTTCAATATGGAATGTAAGTTTTCGAGTCTTATTTTCTTTTTCTTCTTGGACATATACTAAATCATAGACTGATTCATTTTTTTTTTAATTTTTTTTATAGCTTAGAAATATTAGTGAGAAAGTCATTTCTTTTCTTGACTTACCAAGAATAATTGATGGAATTTATGTAATATGATAAGGCTATTAGTTGTTTTGGTCATTATGGAGTCGAAGATGTTTAGTTTTTATCATATACATTCCTATCTCGCATGTTGGTCTTTATAGAGTCGAAGATGTTGATGTCTATTTCATTGTTTTTTTTTTTTTTAGATAGGATTTGTGAATTGTTATGGTATTTTGCGAACAAGGCAAACATCATAACTTGTTATCGTTTAGTTTTATTGATAATCTTAAAACATATTTTGTTGAATAATGTTATGTTACTTGTCTTGTTATGTATCGGTCATCTCGTTTATGTTCACTATTGTAGATTTTTCTTAATGGAAATGTTTTATTTTTTAATTTAGTTCACCTATGGTTCAAGAGGCAATGCTATTTAATATTCATTTATAATACTTCATGCATCCGTTACGAAATAAGCGCGAGAGTTATAATCTCTAATACAATAGAAAGAATGATATACCTAACAATATAAAGCTACATATACCCAACAATAGAAAGCTACATTATCCATCTCAAAGATTGTTTACAACAAAAATTTAAGATTAATTTTGAATAACTATCTTATAACATCACATTTCTTCTACCATAAAGCGATTAAAAAAACATTTGGACATATAGACTTTTTAGTAATTTGAGATAATCAATTTTAACCGTATGTTAGAGGTTGTAATAATCGAAAGGATCCTTAAAAAAAAAAAACAAAAAAAAAAGTTAATTACTAGGCTTAATGTTTCGGAAAATCACGAACTATATACTTTTTAATGATTTTAGCTTGTTCTTTAAAAATTGTATAGAAAGGTCATTAACTAAGCCTCCGATAGCAATATTGGTACCGATCCGATTTTTTGACCAACATTCCATACAATGCCGATATGGCAATCTACGTAAGCATGACACATGGACTTTAGTAAACCATGGAAGATCCGCATAAGCAAGTGATGTGGAAAATCAATTATGTGGATCCTACTTGACTTGCTAAAATCCACATGTCATGCTTACGTGGATCCTACGTATCTTGCTAAAGTCCACGTGTCATATTTTGTCACTCGTCATGTCAACATTGATCGAAATTTTGGTTGAAAAATTAGATTGATCCTAGTATTGTTATCTTATGCTTAGTTTATGACTTTTCTATACAACTTTTATAGAATGAAATAAAATCACAAAAACGTGCATAGTTCGTGATTTTTTAATACATTAAGCCTATTATTAGAAACAAGAGTTTTGTTTGAAAAGAGGTGCAAGTGAAGTGTTTTATTTTCTTCTTCTTTTATTTTTTTATTTAGATAATAATATGAACTAATTAAATTTTAAAAAAAAGTTTAAATTTTTTTTAGTTAGTTCATATTATTAAAAAAAAAAAAACAAGGGGTGCACTTGTTCATTCACCGTAACGAGTTTTTTTTTTTTTTTTAAAGGGTCGGGTTGCTAAAACTTTCCTTTATCGTAGCACTCGTAGCGATACCCTTTCTTTTTTTCTTTTTTTATTGGTTTTCGGTTTCTATATGTTCTCGGATGACAATTATTCTCCTTCTATATAAATAATTTATTTTTATAATTTTTTTATCATGAAATTAGGTGTGAAAATATAAAAAAATTATTATTTTTTTGTAGTTTTACGTACGGTTTGATGGTAATAAAATATATATAATTTTTTTAAAAATTTTAATTTGAACATATATATCCGATTATATTATTTTTATTATTTAAAATTTATTTCTTTAATTGTTTTTTTCTTATTAAAATTCTCATCAAATTGATTTTAAATTTTATATAATTTTATTTGTTAATAAATTTTATTTTTTTATATATGGCTTTTGAAATAAAATTTTATAACATAATTATTTCATTTTTAAAAATATATTATTATAATTTATACGGTTGATTATTTTTATGATTTTTTCAATGAAAATGACATTGTTACATATATAAATTCGATGAGTGAGAGTGAGAGAGAGAGCTCGAGTGTGTTTTAGATAATTTGATTTAATTTTTTAAAATAATAATTAGTTAAAAACATTCACAGGTTTTATTAGTTGAAAACCGTTGCAAACTTTTTGACTAAAATCATTGCTTTTTCATTCCCTATATCGCTGCCTAAAATACCAAGGTAATCGCTGCAATTGAAGGGTTTTATGCAATGGAACGTGTTCACGTTCCATTGCAAGTGCATATGGAAACCATTGCATTAGCCTATTGTAGCGCCGATCGGATTTAACGGTTGGTAAACTGTTGCATTAGATGTAATGCAAGGGTTTTAGTTTATTTTGTAGCGATTTGCAACCGCTGCATAAGGCTTCATATGTTGTAGTGTGTTTTATTTTCATAACTATAAGGGCTAATATTAACTTTGGGGGACCGTCCTCTCTCCCAAGTCCCTTCTCCCAACCCCAACCACAACCCCCCCCCCATGTCCCTTGTACATACAAAAAACTTGATGAAAAATAGGTTAATGAATTATGAAAAGGAGTGCAATTTTTTATTTTCTTACAAAGTAAAACCTTGAATAAAAAACCTTCAAAAGGAAGGGGAGAACAGATGGATATCAATTGAACTGCAACCTCGTTACTAATAAGTGGTTGTTTAAATATTGGTATATATGTTGTCGTTCCCATATCTTGCTAAGTACTACTTTTTTTTTTCCCCAAAGATCGAAACAAATTTAAACGAAGTAAAATGTGATCATCTTAACTAGTCGACTTACATTAAACAGCCGGTGGAGATATGGCTTCCAAGAAATTTAGTAACCAAAAGACGAGCCCAAGATTCTAACCGAGCAGCACAAGTTTAGAGAGGAGAACTATTTGCTGCTGCCACTAATGATACAAAATGCAATAGAATTTTATGATCTGCCCGTCATTTTGATGAATTCTTGAAAGGAAAAAAAAAAAAAATGGAAATACAAACAATTTCAAAATGAAATAGAAGTGGCAGGGTAATGTTTAGGTGCTTGAACCTGTCTTCAACAACATGAGTCTCCAAGTTATCCTACTTAATTAAGGTAAGGAGGCTTTGATACATTTTAGTCCCAAATTAATCTAACATAAACTAGCACACGACTATACGGAATATGTTTGTTTATATTTGTTTCTTTTTTCTTTATTATTTTTTTAATTATAAAAGAGTAGATTTAAATATTCGAAATAAACATTAGGTTATAAACATAGAATTATAAACATTGTTTACATGCAAAAAAATAATACTGTCCCACTAGAAAATATATATATATATATATATATATAAACGCAAAAGTTACCGGAGAGTTGATCTGATAAAATCTAGTCAAAGATGCACATTGAACTGCTAGCAGAAACAGAAACTACGGCATCCAGTTGTCAAATAAAAAAAATGTGTCGGTCCAAGATCCTGATTAAGTTATACTTCATTTTTGCCTTTATAGATTTATCAATATTTCACTTCCATCCTAATAGCTTATAGTTTTCCGATAGTACACCTATTGTTTCTGATAAGTTTCAGCTTTACTCTTTAACTATGAAAAAATATCGGACAAAAGCTCATTCTTTTTCTTTATTTTTATTTTTTTTTCTCATTTTTTCCTCTTAAATCCCCATACATGCTATAAACATTTATAACCCTAAAACAAAATCAAGAAACAAACTGAAAAGGTAGACAATTTAATGGTTAGAGCTGATAATGCCGCAACTTTTTGAGAACTATAAAGATAATATTATAAAACTGTAAACCATTGGGATAGAAGTGCGACATTGATAAATCTCTAGGGGCTAACATAAAGTTTATTCTCCAAATCATAATATAAGTGCTAGAGTACCAATTAAGCTAATATCAAAATCAAAATCATCATTTGAAAACAAAAGAGCGAAATTGTATTCTGCGAAACAAATCTTTTTCCCAAATTCAAATTAAGGTAATGTCTGCATCATGCAACAACAAATTATATCCTTTTCCCATGACGTTTTAAATCAGAGCTATGTGCAAAACGAGAACTTTTGCTGCTTAGTGAATATCATAAAACATAAAACTTATTATTGCAAGAACCTCACTCACTTCAGAATAAAAAGATTGTTCCGTTCGTAAGATTCATAATTAACAGATGAAAAGTTTCATTTATTGCAGGCCAGCAGCAATCAGCAATTAATCATACATTAATCAACGTAACCAAACAAAAGGAATAGAAAAGCAGAAAAGTTGATACTTGGACTGCAGGCTTCCACATGATGGTACTGTCTTCCTTCAGAGAGAAGAATCAATATACTGAAGGAAAAACTTTGAATGGATTTCTTAGTGCAACAACATTGCCAGGACGTGAAAATACAACCTACATTACAGAGGAAATCAAATTTCTTTCCTTATAAGCTGAAGGACAGCATTTTAATAAAGCCAGATGTAATTTCAGATCAAACACATCCTTAAGTTACATAAATGATTCATCACCATACGGGTAACATTAACTATTCTATAAGTAGTGATGCAATATAGATTTCCACGAGTTTAATGATTAGACTAGAATTATTATTATTATTTTTAATCTCCATGATTTGAGACCAAACATTCATTTTTCTTCATTTATGTTCCGAAGAAGTTTAAGAGGGTTGATTTGACTGACACATCTTTCAGAGAACATGGGATGGCATTGAACATAAATTTTGCAATCTTGAGATTTACCTGATAATTTCCAAGTGTAAGTGACTTGAAACCAGCTGCAGAGTAATCAAAATAATACTCCCATGTTCGAATGAAGTTTTCATTGAATCCCAGGGCAAGAATTTTTCTACAGAGAAATTAATACACCAGCATAAATAGTCTGTTTAGTTCTAAGAATTATATAGTTATTCTACAATCAGCCACTGTGGTTATCAATCAAAAAAGGAAGCTAAAAATAAACAGTTCGAAAATGCAATGGGATCAACGAAGTTCTAGCAAGTAATTCATCTAAATAACTGACGACAACCGGCATTTCTCTTCCCACTTTCCATGTAATTTCATGACAGTCAATGATTTGTCATTTGTTAGCATAAATGACCACTGTTGCACATAGTGAAGCTAACATAATGAGTTGCAAAATAATTTGGAAATTCTGGAGTGATTTTTACCTCTGCTTCTCCAAGAAATTTTTTCTCCAGCATCTAAGTGTTTGATAGTAATGAATTCCGATGTTTTCCACATGCTCCACGCTACACAAACACTAACTTTAAGTTCATTTGCAGAAAAGTAATTTGAAGAAAGAACAAATATGATCTCAGCTGTAATATTCAGCTAAAACTGATGGCCTCTACCAGAGTCTCGATGAAGTGGCCATGGCTGACATTATCCTAGTTAATGAAGGCAAGCATCCACCAGGAAATATATATTCCTTGATAAAATCTGAACTCTTCCTGTACTCATCATATCTTTCTTCCGGTATTGATATGAACTACAAAAAAAATGTTCGAAAGTAGTCAACCCCTTAGTGTTGAGTAAAAACGTTAAATAATGTGCATCGGCCAAATTTCTACAGCAACTGACAATTAAGCTCTAATTTCTGCAATCGCAGCCATTACAATTTAAAGGGGCACAAATAAGCAAAATTATCTTTTCCCACGTTTTCATTACCTGTAGGACAAGGAGCCCATTTTCTGCCAATACTGATTCGCAGCAACCAAAAAACTCTTCCATGTATTCGTGACCCACAGCTTCTATCATTTCGCTGGACAAGTGAAAAAAGAAGACCATCAAAGTGATGGTATTAGTACAACAAAGTAAGACCAGAATGGAATACTGTGATGAGAGAACTCACCAGGATATTATTCTGTCATATTTGTGGGTCTTGGGCAATTGACGATAGTCGGAGAGGTGAAATCTTATACGGTCCTGAAAATATGGTCAATGTTAAAAACAAGTTACTTGATTTAAGAAACAACCACGTTATGCTTTAATACAGAGCAAAAAACAACCACTGCTAGAAAACCATATCTCCGTGACAGTTAAGTCAGGACAACATTGCCAACTTTTACCTTGCTTGCTTACTACATAAAACAATCTTTAATTATGTCTTACAAGCTTTTACACATTTGCATGTGAAAACTGCAAAATGCAAAAGGGCCAGCGGCCAAGGAATAGGAAAACAAAAAAAACAGTAGGAAAATCCAGGGAATTTCAGAATTGCTAATGTCCTTTAGATTTCTAGTTCATACCTGGAGACCAGATTCCTTCACTTTCATTTCTGCATATTTTAATTGCTCCTCAGATAGAGTAATTCCAGTGTATTTACATCCAGTTCGTTGGACAACTTCAATAGCTAACGTTCCCCAGCCACAACCAATCTCAAGAACTTCATGGTCTTCATTGACTCTAGCCTAGATTGGTCAAATGTAAGCACATAAAAGTGAACCTGAATGACAAGCAATCTTGGTTAAATTGTCCAAAATTAATTAACAGGCTCACTTTTTCGATTAGAAGGGATATTTTTCTCATTTGTGCAGCTTTCAGGTCTTCATCTTCTGTCTTTAAAGTCAGCACATAGAAATGAATATATCATCAGTAAACATAGCATGTTAAGGATTGGATTATATTTTGTCATGCATTATTTTAAACGGAATCATCAATAGGTAAGGGATCTCAACCTTAAATACTGCACAAGAGTATGCCATTGTTTCATCCAAGAACAGAGCAAAAAGTTCATTACTCTGGAGACAACCAAAAAGGGATGTAAGGTTCTAGTACGTATATCATAATTCATTAAACATTTGACAACGAAAATAGTTCCAAGGCCACAACGACAGCGAACATCTGGAAAAATAATGAAATTAACTACCTCTCACACTTTGATATAGTAAAAACCTGACAAGGTCACTGATTTGGAATGTTGAAATGGTAACAATATCTATTAGAGTAAAACCAGTTGTTCCATCATTATGATCTAATACAAAATTTTGAAGAGTTCTTTCTTCAACTATGTTCAAAATGAACCATAGAAACTAAAAAGAAAACTTTTTCATGTAACGCATTCTGCTTTCATGTGAATGTTTTGGCAAGTCCATTGCATTACAGGTTCACATATATAAAATTTTAGAAGTAATTCTTTACAGGTACACTAATGAGATGACAAATTGACTTTGCTATCTCCATAAAAGGTATAGTGAGAATCACACTAAAGAAATGTTAGGCCTACAATCTAAAATGCTTAAATTTGACAGTTTGATGTGGTATCAGAACCAGAATCATCTTAGTGAAAAGGTTTGGTGATCAAAGTTCAAATCTACGCACCCTTATCTCCATCTCTGAAATAAAATAGTTTTTCCATTATCTTTTCCTTCCATTACACGTTAAAAGACTTTATAAAATTCCATAATGGCATAGAAAGCCATGTTTAAACATAATGTTTGACAATCTCATACCAGGTCATAATGACGAGAGATGTTTCTGCGAGCTTGTGTAAGAGTATTTTTCCTTGATACATGCTGAATGAAAAATTTTGCCGATGCAATAGCAGCTGTGAATAATAATGGCGTCCACCAGCCCCTGAGTGCAACAAGGGTAGAATACTTGACGAAATAAGATACAAGAATCAATCCATTGTAATAACATACTTTCAGAGGGGCCAGTCACAACATACCTTTTCTTGATCAGACTTGATGTAGAATTATTAGCATCTCTATTTACGATGAGAATCTGCAATACAAATTAGTAAAGAAATTAAATTCTTTGAAAGTCAATCCACAAAAGATAGATTAGATCAGTTTTCTCACCATGAAAAGGTTTAGAAGACCTTCATTTTTGTCAACAAAGGAAAAATCACCATTGATATATGCATCTGCGAGGCCTAAATCAGCCTGAGTCATTACCTGAAAAAAAATTCTAGACCTCATTAGTTGTAGTGACAATTTTGAACTAGGCACTTAAATTATTCTAAATTTTAAAATAACCTCTGCATTATCTTATATCACTTCAGTTCAAATTTTTCCTGTTAATTATTTTGAACTAAAGGTGGCATGTAACTCACTTGAAAGCAGAACTACATGGAGTACATACCTTCCAGTAAAACTGGGGATTGTGAACCTTCAAAACAGTTTTCAGAGAACATTTTTTAGAAGTTCCCTCAAAGGAGAAAACTGTGCCTCCTTCCTCTAGTAAACTGTCAAATCACCATATATGGATTAAAAAAGAGAGAAAAATCCAGTAAGGACTGTCAATATAAATAAAGATTCAAGACTGAAAAAACACAAGTTTATGGAAGAAATGAGAATCAAGTTAAATGATTTAGACAAATGACAAAAGATAGCAATGTTGCAATATGTAATTTTGTACTGGAAAGTGGTATTAGATTGAGTAGACAATAGAGGAGCTAAATCTACAGAAAGCTGACATTCTGCATCATCCACCAGAGCAGAAGAATAATTACGAATGGAGATGAACATTCACTAAATGGCTACATGTTTACACGAAACCCCTCCCCGTGAAGTGACAAAAAAGCACCTCAGATACTAAAAATCCAATGCTCTTGTTATCCAGCATCCAAATGAAAGATAATAACCAATATACAACAAAGAATTGGTTTTGGATAAGCATGTGATGACCTTATGAACATAAACGAAAGAGCAAGGTACATGTGCGTTTTCTTAATAACAAAATGCTCGAAAGGAAAACAAAACAATATAAGGAGGGATTGCAATTATCTTTATAAGTGAACTCACATTAAACAGCCAGTAGAGATATAATGTCCAAGAAATCTAGTAACAAAAAGGCGCGCTCCAGTTTCCAACATAGAAGGTACCATGTGTTTTGGATTGCTCAGAATGGCACCACTGTTTCCTAGCAAACCATGTGCAGCAACCATGCCTGACTGAAAAGTGTAATAGAAATACAAATAATTTTGTTTTCTTGTATAGGCACAAATACAAAGAAATATTATACTTCACTTGTCAGTGGCAGAACACCAGTTTCATGAATTTATGAAAAGAAGAACAAAACAAGAAAACAAAGGCCCTGATTGATTTTCAATTTCAAGTAGCAAAAGCATGTTTCAGAAAAGCAAACCAAAGTAATTCATAAGTAGGAATGCTGATTTTTTAACCGTTTCAGGATAGCGTTTGAACTCAATTTTTCAAATTTTAGAAGAAAGGGGTATTTTTCATTACAAGACCTAAGAAAAAATTTCCAGAGTTTAGAGAACAAATTTGGGTAAATAGAATAGCAAATATTTCATAACAGAAGAGTATCAGTGCATGAATCCTTTGTACTCTAGAACTAGAAAATTTTATACCTTCCCAACGAAAAGATAAGCGGAATCTGAAAAAAAAAAAATAGAACACAGAAGAATTGACTTTTCCTACAAACATAGGGTTCAAAATAGGGGTTATCTCTACTGAATATTAAGCAGCTTAAGGGACACCTATGTCTACCTTTAGTCCATCTTCATGGAAGCCATAACCTGAAAATGCAACATGAAATGCTCAGTTGATCAGCAAGTATCAAGGTAGTCCAGTTTTTCTAAAATCTGAAAGTGGCAATGTCTCTGAAGGCTAAACCAAAAAATGAATTATCATGGAAACTTGACAAGAGTTTATCTCCTATAAATGTAACTGATCACTGTATCTATGCCAGTGTCCTTTCTTCTTTACAAACAGAAGACTTACCTTGGTACGCTCCACAAAACCAAACTCTCCTCCTGCCTTGAATATGGTCAAGCTCAAGTGAAGCTTTTTTGCAGCTACAGATGGAACTGGATGGCCAATTGACCACTTGAGTAAGGTATGGTCTGGTGCACGATTTGGATTGAGTGTAACAAGAAAAGGCAGGCCTGTTTCACCAATATTCTGCAGCATGATACAGCATTTAAACAGCAGAATTAGATAGTGGGACATTGGGCTTATTTCTTGTTCTCTTGAAAGTTGACAGATAAATTCTGAGACTTAATTACAGACAAACCTGAAGCACATTCAGCCAATATGTCAGACAGACTTTATTCTCTGTACTTTCCAAGAAATTCCATGCACTCCATGCTGCTGAGTTTTGAGGCATAAATTTTTTATCACGGTGAAGGAAAATATCGCTGCCAAAAGAAATTGTAGAATGATTGCAAATATTGAGTGAATGAACTAAATGAGTTCAAAATTACATCAACTTTTTTAATCGTTAGTTTTTTTTTTAACTTCTCAAAAGGACTACAGAAAGTTAAAAAAAAAAAAAAAAAGTGTGTGTCCATTTATACTTGAGTCCTGACATTATAATTCTTGCGCAAGTTCATTTGACAAGGATGCTACAAATATTTTAAGCTTTGAAAAGGGTATGGCAATTTAATAAATGAAAGAAAAAGGAAAACTTAAAAAACAACTGAACTGGATTCCTCTTATAATTGAATAATGTGTTACTTTAAAACTTTTGACTGTCAAAAAGTGGTATCTCAAACTTGATATATCATTTTCCTGTAAAGTATTTTGCAAATGAACTTAATTACCATCAGTTGAAGCTGATAATGTTTATTCCTATTAAGATGTCAGACACAGCCAAAACAAAAAAAAAAAAAAAAAAAAAAAAAGAACAAAAGAAGTGGAAGAAAATAAAAATAGATACCTATACATATATCGGAAAGCACCAAGTATTCTTGTTTCATCAAATGTCGCTTGCTTCCCCAATAATTCCAGAGCATCTGGGGCATGGACGGCCATTATGCACCCACTGTACATTTCTAGCAAGCCATCTCTACAAAGTACTGCACAACCTGCTAAAATACTTCTCATGTTACCATTAAAATTACTAAAGCAAAGTATTATGTTTATATGCTTAATTTGTTCATAAAAAATCAATTAAGAATTTTATTATGTACTAATCATTTTTTTTTTTTTTGCTTTGACATAGGTTCAAACTACACAATAAATAAATTAAACTGAATATCGACTTGGTCCAGCACAGCACAAGACTTTGAGCTTTTTAAGGATGTACACAGGTATTATGACAAAGACTAATTTCCATCCTTTGTCTTTAGAATGTATTAAGAAGATTGTCTTGGTAGACTTGGAGCAGTATCGGCTAAAAAAAAAAAATCTAATTGTTATTTTATTCAGACCTTTACTAGCAAGTTAAAATAGTTTAATCCAAAAAACCTTATTTTTTTCAACTCAAATTTGACCATCCAAACATGGATAATATGGCACAATTATAGCTGGCAAAGATCATTATCAATACACTATAAATACCAACCTTACAGTAATTCTGAAGGACTATTGTAAGGGATTCTAACTTTTAAATCTTTAACAAAACATTTGAATTCTTTCTCTTCTCTTAAACCTCTCACTCACACACTAGACATCTTTTAAAATTTTATTTGTTTGGAATTTGACTATTCACCTGTTTGTTACTCAGACTTATTTCTTCCTAACATTGCATGCTTCTCTTCTCACACTTCTCACTAATTGCATCCATTTTACTCAGTTAGTTTACCGTTACTTCAACAAGTCACAACAATAGTTCTCTATACTTTGATTAGCTTACTAACTTGGTTTCAAGAACCCCTCACGCATTGTAGATTACTCATTAAGGTTTTTTCACTAGTTCATGTTCCTTCTTTTAACTTTCTTTTTAAGTTTTTCTTTGCTTCTGCAGCAGTTGTAAATTTCTATGAACTTCTGCTTTTAAAATACCTCACATCTTCAAACATAATCATCGTCTTACGTTATACAACATTTAGTGCCTTAAATTTGCTAGTAAAGTAATGTTACTGCTTACCCTCATCTGTAGTTGTAACAGCCTGTACCTCACAACCGGTTCGTATTTGGCAACCCCAACTTCCCAGCTTTTCTCTGACCTGAATTTTTTACAATATTGAACGAAGATTTAATACAAGAAGCTGGTTGCTGGTCGCTATGGCTCAAAACTAAAATCCATTAACCAAAAACAATGACTACTCATGTACTGTTAAGAAATAAATACGGGGTAATGTAAAAGCAACAGGTGAGTACCTTGTTGATGTAAGAATGCGATCGATGTCTGACTGTGAGCCACTGAGGCCGACCAAAGAGCTGCAGAGTACCAAAGCACATTCAATGAAAACAATTAATGTATCTGTTTGCCTAGAGCTCCAGTAGCAGACAAAAGCAAAAGGTTAATTATTGGTTAAAACGCACTTCTTTCAAAAAGAACACTTACCTGAAGCAAATGATGGTTACGGCAAAACGAGAGCACAGAGAAAGCTGAAAAGCTCATAACTCCTTCTGAAGGGCAGGACCATATAGAACCACATACGGGGATCTAAAAATTGCAACGTTACTTCTGTCATTAAGTAACTAAGGCAACGAAAGTAGAACCTAATTAGAAGGTTGAGAAAATGGGACAGCATAGATGTTCAAGAGATCTCACAAGATAAGCCTTCAGAAATAATTCAGAGTAACCTCGTGACTTGACGAATTGCCCTAAGGTTTCATTCATATCAACATCTGGGCTATTCTCAAGCACCTCAAGATAACTGCAATAGAAACAAAAAATGAAATTAGTTGCCATTCTTACTGAGAGGACATTAAAATTACAGTGAGTCGTTAATTAGTGTCTCAAAAGGCTTGTACAGAATCAAATTCTCAAGTCAGAACTCGTGAAATCACGCAGTGTCAGCACCTTGTACGCCCATTAAACAAATAAGTCTAGAAGATCAAAAACCTGATTACTCCCTAAAGGAATTATCCATAATTCCTGCCAAGTTCATGTTCAGCTGACACTTGGATGATAAACTCAAGGCCATGAGGCAGCACCATAGAATCAAATCAATTACTTCTTTTGCCTTATAAGCTTAAATGAAAGGCATTTTCACACCCTAAATCCTGATTAACAACATGCCGTGTAATTTTGATGTAAGCAGCTAATGTTCAGCTCCAAAAATGTAAGCACCAAATGCGGTATAATTTTAATGTTCTAATTCACATTATACAAAATATCTGAAAAGAGAATGACTCACCTGAGTACATCTTCCTTAAACTTGATAATTTCTCGAAGCATTTTCCAAAAGTACGGATTTAACATATTCTTCTTCTGTGCAAACAAACCTGACAACCCATTTCTGCTACCCCATTCACAACCTTGGCCTTGGTCTAAGCTCACTGAGAATGACATATCTGATAACTCCATATCTATTCCAAGGCTCTCGAAGAATTCCATCATATTTGGATATGTTACCTGTTCATGATCCCAACACCTTCCAAGTCAATTAATCCCATTTGTACCAAAAATAAACCTTTTTCAATTGGACATAAGCTATACGACTAAGTCGCTAAGCTTTGGTTCGCTAGGACCAAATAGTAGCTTCAAGAAACAAAAAGGAGCAGGATGGATACACCAGTTTGTGTTCACACTTAACCACTGAATTGGTAAAAACTATCCGCCATTGAACTATGTGCAGTGGGGTACAGTTTCTTACGGTATCTGAAACCAATTTGGAAACCATTGGTAGATGACTTGCAATTAACTCACCAAATATTATTATTGATACTGTTATTTAATAAGATATTTTTTCTATTAGAACACTAGTCTAGCTTAACTAGCAAGGACTTAATTGTATTTTTTTTATAAAATTCAAAAACTGAAAACTTTCAATCATAACTAATTTAAATAAAAATAAAATATAGAAACAAAAATAAATTTTTCAGAAATTACTAGAAGTTTTTGCCAACAAAAAAGGATGATCTATGCTACTTAAAAAACTAAATAATATTAAATTAAGCATGATCTATGCTACTTAAAAAACTAAATAATAGTTTTTAAAATAAAAAAACTAATTAATTTATGTCTTAAAATTAGAGGATTAATTTATAATTTACAGTTGGACTTTATACGTGGATGATATCTAAAAACCGTTATTAAAAGTAACCGGCGGCAGTAATCAGCTACTTAATTGCTTCAAGAATCTATACCTCGTCCCTTCCAAAACAATAGAGTCAAGAAAAGAGACAAAATGATCGGGTCTCCCCAACTTAAATTAAAGGAGGTCTATTATAAACAAAGAGGGCATCAAGATCATCCATAGAAGGATAATTAAGCGCATTCAACATGATTAAAATAATTATGGAAACCCATTTGAATTTTTGGATGAATTTTAAAGGCTTCAAAAGTTTGTCTTTACTAAATCAGGTGGATGTTTCTTTTTAATTCCATATTTTCTTATCAAGAAATGGCCAACCATCAAGCTTTTTTTTTTTTGGCGCACAAGAACTAAGTTTTAAACAAAATATCTATACTCGAACTGGTATATTCACCGTAATAATATCCATGCAATCAGGCAAGTAGCTGCAGAATGATTGGGTTCATGCATTTTTTTTATTTTTTATTTTGCTCTTTAACGTGATAAAGCACGAGAACATTTATCAACCCATACCTATGCATAACTGGGGTGGGTGACGCAGGGGGAGGTGGTTATAGAAAAAAGATATATATATATATATATATATATATATAATAAGAGAAGTTGCGTCTGACCCGATTGAAGACCATGAAGCCGAGGTCTAAATCAACACCATCGAAACTGACAGTCTTCGCATGGCCTCCTAAGTACTCCTCTTTCTCGTATAGAACAACCTCGACACCGGCTTTTGCAAGAACATAAGCTGAAACAAGTCCACTGATCCCAGCACCAACCACCGCTACTCTCATTTTTGACATTATATTAATCTAAACGAAATTCTAATTTCTAATCCTGCATTCATTCATCAGTTGAATTGTCACAAATTTTTGAAGCGTCAAATATATAAATATATATATTATTGAAGAGATTTCAAACTGAATAATATATAAATAGTTGCAGAGAATTAGGGGAGCTCATAAATAAACACAACACACAGATTATCAAATACCGAATTGTAATTATTTATTAAATACCCACAAGTCACAGAATATTTAGCCCAAAAGTACGTACTCACAAATGGAAACTCTCATCTCCTAAATTAAGATTCTCATGCATACCAAATTAGGAGTTAATAATTTCCCGGAACAGCAAATTTTGCGGGAACAATATTATCTCTCTTTGATTGGCAACGAGCATTTCCTCCAAGTTAATTTGGATTAGTAGTAAAGCCATTGTTGATTCCTCGTAGGTCATCTCTTTTACAGCAAGGAATATGTGTAGTCACATGGGACTAGAGCACAAGCGCACAAAGAGAAGGAGGGAGCAATAACTATTTACTCCTATACATATACCAGTACGAGAAGATTGATAAGAACATAATTACCTTTTCAAAATGTTACGTTAAACCAACAGCTGGCATTCCCTCTACACCCGCCCCACTATAGCTTCTGGTTCCACCTATCACAACTCTCAAAAGCTTCTCTGTGTTCAAAGGCCAGAGACGTCTAAGCAGATAAGCCTAGCTAAAATAGAGTCGGTCTCTCTCCTTCTCTCTCCCTCTCTCTATGAACGAGCGCAGAAGAGTAAGCAGATGGGCCGAAAAAGGAATCTTGGGAAGCGTATTCGTTTGCTGAAAAGTAGTCAGCTGAAACGGACAGTCTCCAAGTTACCGCATATATAGTAGTGTTTTTATAAAATTACGGTTTTGAAATGAAAATTATTAAATTTTATGTTTTTTTTTCTTTTTATGGTTTTGATATTAACATGTTAAAGTTATCCAAAGACATTTGATTTTTTTCAGTTTCAAAATTCAAATGCAGATGACAAATTTTTCAATTCAAGCATCTTACCCAACCGAATTTTAATTCCTAGTAAATAAAATTAAGTTCAAATCTTTAAACTTTATTGATTTGAAACATAATATATATAGTAATTCAATTTTCCATCCCTTTAGGCTTGGCTCATGTAACAAGTAATTAATTATTCTTACCTTGCATTATTATTTTGGATTTGACATAAAGAAAGTCAGCAAAAAAAAAAAAAAAAAACAATTTCAATAAATTTACCAATATTCGAAATGTTGATAAATTATTCAAAACTTAGTTTTTAAAAATATTTAATTTAGGTATATGTAAGTTCATCTAAAAATACTACTTTAATTAAAACAAAAACAAAATCATTTTCAGTAATAACATAATTCTTCTAATTAAACAAGATAGAAAAAACATATTAGCACAAAAAGGTAATTCTATTTGCTATCTGATATATTAGGGGGCAGAAATGTCCGATGAAAATTGAATTTGCATGTAATTCACATGAAGAATGCGCATCTATGTCACTAGTCTACGAGTTAATCCTTTTAGCACAAAAAAGACCTTAATAATTAGATATTAAGGAGTATTCATATGAAAAATGCACGTAATTCACATAAAAATGCATCTCATAATTTCTTTTCCACATCATGGTTAAATTTTTGAAAATTAATTTAATGTGTATTTATATTCAAGAAGTAATCATCTTTAATATACTTGTTTATATTTCAATTACATAATAATTAGATATTCGTAGATCTCTTCATGTTAGAACATTGATAAACATTAATTTAATATATTATAACTCTAATTAAATTAATTTATCATATAATTTAAAGATAAGTGTCAAGTAATTGTTTTTATTCCAATTAATATTTAAACTGTAAAGTGAGATTTCAAAATATTGTTTTCTATTGGTTTTTGATAATAATTAATTAAATTATTAAACATTTCTTATGACAGCAATATCGTTAAAAAAAAAAAAAAAACGACTGCCATTTTTTAAAGTTTACGTTTCCCCATTGAAAAAAATGAAATGTCCTATTTCTCTACCATTGATATTGTTCGAAGTAGAATGGACCACGTTGTAACGAATCCAGTCACACGGAAGCAACGAGAACATGTGGGTCACTGCGAGTCTTTGAGAATCCGACCGTGGACATCTTAGCAGCCAGTGGAGCTTTCCTAACGTGGGCCCCACCCGCTCTTTTCTTTCTTTAACTTGGCATATAGGTACTCGATTCTAATCTTTTCGACGTTCGTTAAAATATGATCATTTGTTGATTTAATTTTTATAGCAGAATGAGGTTTACGTATCCGATTCTAATCTTTTTACTGTCTGTCGAAATTTGGTCGTTTGTAGATCAAATTTTTACAGAAAAATGAACATTACGTATCCAACTCTAATCTCTTCTTTTTAATATCTGTCGAAGTTTTATTAAATTTTTGTAGCAGAATAGACATTACGTATCCAACTCTAATCTCTTCTTTTTAATATCTGTCGAAGTTTTATTAAATTTTTGTAGCAGAATAGACATTACGTATCCAATTCTAATCTTTCTAATGTCTATCAAAATTTGATCATTTGTTAATTAAATTTTTGTAGCAAAAGGAGTTCTTAGTTTAACGTTTTTTGATTAGTAAATTCCTCTCATTTATTAAAAAAAAAAAAAATGTACGTACTTGGTGTTTGGGAAGACACGAGTTAATAAGATAAGAGTAAAAGTTGAAAAAATAATCGGTTTAATTGTTAGTTTTTTCTCCTTTACAGGGGTACAATAGAAATTGTAGTTCCAATTTGTTCAATTATATTCTTAAATTTTAATGGTTTGTGTAAATGTTACGTATGATTTGATCCTGATGGCATCCGATCTCATTTTAAGCATCGATACGTATGAATATCAAATGCTTCAATTCAACGTTTTTCAAAATCATGGATCAAATAATTCAATTCAACGTCCATCAATTTTTTCTTGTTTTGATGACATTGCAGTTGACTTTAACCAATTAACTTTAAATCTGATGCCTTTTATTGTAATTAAAGGTTACTTTTAGAAAAATAAATCTTTTTATATATATATATATATATATTTTTTATTTTTTTACATATGCCTTTCCATAAACAAACAGAGACAGACACATTGTACGGTGTATGCTGACATACATCATCTTTTGTCAAGCATCTTCCATGTAGACGGGCACCCTGTATGATGAAACACACCGTTTTGTCGGCCTGGATTCTATAAAATGTGGATGGACTTGGACTATAATTGGTTGAGATTACACTTGATTTCGAGGCGATCGATATGAATAAGGCCCACGAACTTCTTTGCAGCCCAAAAAGAAGTTTTCCTTGCATATTTGGAAAAAACTTCATTCAGAAAATCATTGCTTAGGCAATGGGGAGGCCACTAACTTAATTGTTTTATTATTTATTTATCTTTTTGCTATTAATAAAACGATATTCCTAGAAATCTTGCAAAATTTAGCTAAATTAGGGATAGCTAAGTTGAAATATAAAGGGAATATAAATCCATTTTGATCATTTTAATAAGTTAAATAAAACGATTACAATTATGTAACTATTGAGCAATTTTATCTTATTTTAGAAGTGTCATTACTTACTTAATATAAGAGAAATAAAATATAAAAAAAGAAAAAAAAGAAGATAGAGAATTTTAATAAAAATGAACGTACACTACAAGAAAACAACTTAATAGTGATGGATAATTCAATCGCTATTTCAACAAAATCATCACTATATCTATTTAGCGATAGATTTGTGATTAAAAAAAAAAAACCATAGCCAAAACGCTTGTCACTAACCTCCGTGACGGATTCAACGGTGTCTATAGCTAATTTAGTGATGGATAATCTGTCGCTAATTCATTTTATTCCTTCGCTGATTTGATACCAAAACTATCGTATTTTCACCATATAATACGTCATAATTCCATCGCAAACATGTCTTTATTCCTTCGTTAAATAACAATTGAAAAATCTTTGTAATATTTTTATACTAATTTTGGTCGCAATTCCATTACTAGTTTGTCACTAGTTCTTCATTGGTTCATTAGCGACGGTTTTTTCTTGTCATTTTTTTTTAGAAGAAATTAATTTCTTTTTCTTTATTTCGCCGCTAATCCATCGCAAAGCTTTTTTTTAATTATTAAATTTTTATTTAATTTTAAAAATTTTCATATTCTTGAAAGTAATGAACAATTAAAACAAACAACTTATTATAAAAATTAATGATTTTTTTGTATTAAAATTAAAATATTATAAATTAAATTAAATTTCATATTAAAAAATTATCTTTTAGTACGTAAGAAAAACACATAAAAAACATTAAAAAAAAAATTTAAATGTCACTCTATATCATGAACATCGAATCCCTTCTCATCTTTCCGAGGTTCGTTGGGAGGGATAATGGAGTCTTAGAGGTCGGTGGGAGGGACATTGGAGTCATTCATTGGTGGAGGGATCGATAGGCAAGTGAGACGTCCGCACCATCTTCTATAACTTCACTATGATTGACGAAATGCGAGTGTCCATCCCTTGGATCTTCATCTCATTCTTGTGTAATAATGTTATTACGCTTATCTAACCTCACCTGTATTCCCCTTATCATCTCATCATATTGGTTGCAAGTTTGATCGGCGGCATTAGGGTTGGAATACTACGATGCTCGTGGAGGATGAGTTGGCGCCGACTAAATGAGATAAATACGGCGACTCCTCTAACTTGATCTTATAAACCCTCTTTTTTTTTTCACCTCCTATAGCTTCAAAGTATATGATGTCCGTGTCGACCTATGGCTCCTCAATTCCAACCTCTCGCCGCATCCTAACAATTTCTTATATCGGCTCCTCTATACATTTCTACGTAATCAAAATAATTATAACGTCAATAAATAAAATAAGTTTTTAGATTATATTTTTATGTGTAATTTAAAAATTAAAAACACCTATTATTTTTTGGGCTCGTAAATCATTGAA